CAGCCTGGATAACAGAGTGAGATCCTGTCTCAAAAAAAAAAAAAAAAAAAAAAAAGAAAAGAAAACGTGATACATATACAAATGGAATATTATGTAGCCTTGAAAAAGAAGGAGATTCTGCCATGTGCAACAACATGGATGACCCTCGAAAGCATTAAGCTATGTGAAGTAAGCCAGTTGCAGGAAGACAAATACTGCATGAGTCCACATATAAAGAAAGTTTCTAAAATAGTCAGATTAATAGAATCAGAGAGTGGAGTGGTGTTTGCAGGGGGTAGGGGTAGGGAAATAAAGAATTACTAACCAATGGACAGTTTCAATTATGAAGAAGCTCTAGAGATCTGCTACAGCACAGTTCCTAAGTCAACAGTAATGTATTGTACACATAAAAACTGGTTAAGCCGGTAGATCTCACTTTAAGTGTTCTCACCCCAATACAATAAAACTAAAATAAAAGCTGTGACCTGAAAGGTAACAAATAATTTGAACTGAGTAGGCTGCATGCAGAGGCTCACGTCTGTAATCCCAGCACTTTGGGAGGCCAAGGTAGGCAGATCACTTGAGCTCAGGAGTTCGAGACCAGCCTGGCCAACATGATGAAACCCCGTCTCTACTAAAAGACAAAAAAATTAGCCAGGTGTGGTGGCGGGCACCTGTAGTCCCAGCTACTTGGGAGGCTGAGGCAGGAGAATTGCTTTAACCCAGGAGGCAGAGGTTGCAGTGAGTGGAGATCACGCACTGCATTCCAGCCTGGGTGACAGAGTAAGATTCTCCAAAAAAAAAGGAAAAAGAAAAAAACTGAAGCAGGTAGAAGTGAGATGTGGGAAGAAGTGAGATGTGGGAGTCTTGTTCATGCCAGATCTACTCATATAGTGGGCATGGCTCAGGTGCGGCGCATCCCATCACCTGGGAGTTTATTCGGCTCTCAGCCCTGGCTATTCAGGCTAAGCATCCTGTAGCATCTGGGAGTAGTTACTAATGCTGCGTCCCACAAGGAGGGATATAGGGTTGCTAGTGCTCAATGAACTTGAGCAAATAAGGCACACTGCAAACGTTTCCGGCTTAGGTCATGCAGGACAGGCTCTGGAGTAGCGCACCCCTGGGTTTGAATCCCAGCTCTGCTACTTATAAGCTTTGTGACCTCAGGCACATTGCAAGGGTCCTCCGGCTCAGGTTTCCTCAGTGAAAAAGGTGCAATGACTCCTACCTTGGGGAGCTTGCCAGGAGGACTCCCAGGAGTGAGTATTAATGAGTGGCGTTAGCAAGGCATGGGTACCTAGTGAGGTGTCGTGAACTGCAGCTATTCTTTGCCTCATATCATTACTAAACCCCAGCAAAACCACATGTAATGCTACAAGGAATAATAACTCAATCTGCTGAGAACAGGAGCGCTTTCCACAAATGCCTAAGGGGCCAAGTGGACAACAGAAATGGGGTTAAGGGGTCCAGAGGTGCCCAGGAAAACTGGAGAGAAAGGCATACGCCACCTGCATAGGGCAGCTGGTGCCCAGCTGTGGCCAACCGGCCAGGCCGCAGGATGCGGGCCCCACGTGATAGACCTGATTTTTCAAGGGGAGATGCAAATCTGGGATTTTCTGTAGTCTACCCATTTTTAAATGTGGGAAACTCACTCCAAATGTTCTCCATCAGGACACGGCCAGCAACTATCTACATGTTTACTGGCTGGATCTGCCCTCCAGACATCAACCTGTAATCCCAGGGACAGAGTTCCAGGTTTACAAAGCACTTTCCCAGCTATCATTTCATTTAACCCTCACAGGAGCCACTTGAGGTGGGCACTGCGATGACACCTTAGAAAGGTAACAACTGAAGCTCTGAGATGTTACAAAACTTTCCCAAGGTCTCAGCGCTATGAAGTCTTCGGGTCGGACTGAACAGAAGCTTCTGAATCTGAGAAGGCGTTTCAAAAAGCCTCTAGTGATTCTTAACCTGCAGATGCTGAGTGCGTCCCGATTAATCAATGAACAATGACTTTTACCAACTGCTGAATTCAAAACCCTGATTCTTTTGCCTTCTCACTTGATAAATGACTAGTTTACCCAAAGAGAGAAACTTACAAAGTACTAATATGGAGATCTGAAAACAGTGACATCAAGTGTCAAGTGAAGGAGCTTTAGAAGATGCCACTGCACGCTGCCCCATCTTGGGGTGCCACCTATCCTCCCTGCAGGACAACAAGAGGCCCCTATCCTGAAGCCGTGTCTGCAGTCCTTGAGCCTGGCCTCCTGAGCTCGCTCCTCTCTCTCTGAGAACTTGGAATCTGAACAGGGAGAGTCAGGAGCTGAGTCACTTTCTGCTTTCTCAGCTTTACTGAGATATAATTCACATACCAAACAGTACACCTGCTGAAATGTACAATTCAGTGATTGTTAGGATATTCACAGAGTTGCTCGATCATCAGTACAGTCAATTTTAGAACATATCATCACCCCAAAAAGGAACCTGGATCCACTGGAGCTCAGGCACTTTTATGGCTCAAGTTCAGGGTGATGTTTCTCAAAGTATGGTCCTAGGACCACTTACCCCTGAATCACTGAGGGGGCTTTTAAAAATGCCCATTTGCCAAACATGGTTGATCCCACCTGTAATCCCAGGTACTGGGGAGGCTGAGGGAGGAAGATTGCTTGAGGTCAGGAGTTAAAGACGAGCCTGGGAAATGTAGTGAGAATGCACCTCTATAAAACATTTTAAAAAATTAGCCAGGCGTGGTGGCGCATGCCTGTTGGCCCAGCTACATGGGAGGCCAAGGCAGGAGGATCACTTTAGCCCAGGAGCTCAGCCTAGGCATACAGCAAGACCCTGTCTCAAAATAAAACAAATAGATTATTTTAAAAATGCTGATTTGTGATCCTATTTCAACCTACTGTGTAATCTCGGCTCACTGCAACCTCCGCCTCCTGGGTTCAAGTGATTCTCCTGCCTCAGCCTCCCAAGTAGCTGGGATTGCAGGTGCCCACCACCACGCCCGGCTAATTTTTGTACTTTTAGTAGATATGGGGTTTTGCCATGTTGGCCAGGCTGGTCTCAAACTCCTGACCTCAGGTGATCTGCCTGCCTCTGCCTCCCAAAGTGCTGGGATATAGGCATGAGCCACAGTGCCCGGCCCTTGGAATATTATTTTTAATGCAGCAAATAAAACATGTAAGACTACAAAGAAAACCAATTACACTAAAATAGAGCTGGCAAAATATTTTTTCCATGCATTTGTGATACTGTAATCTGTTGCTTCTTTGTGAATGCATTAACAGTTCTAGCAATCGGCTTAATAACTGCTGTACTTTTAAAGGAAGAAGAACACAAACAATCTTCTGAAATATCTTTCACATCTGAAATGTGATGTGAACATATTTGTTGATTTCTTTTGGTGACAAAGTCCCAGCTACTGCTACTACTACTGTGGCTTTTTGCCTGTAATTCATCGAGTGAAAGGTAAATTTCACTCAGACATTTGTGAAAATAAAGCTGTCATCCTCCTCATCCAAATTCATGTCACTCTGCCAGATCTCCAGGGAGTAGGTGGACTGCAAGTTACAAGCACCCTTGCTAGGGAGGGTCCAGGAATTCCTCCTGCTGGGTCCCGAGAGTGGCCTCATTCTTTCCAACTCAAGCCTGGCTGTATATCTCTTCCATTCCACGAAAAACCCAGCATCCTCCCAACAGTGCCCCTCTTAATTTCTGCTATCTTTAGCTTCTGTTATTTGCCATCAAAATTAACTTTGTCGCCACTTTCTCAGTGCTTTCTAGAAAGTTTACTATGCGCAGAGGCACTGTTCTGACCTTGTGAGTACTCACTAACTTAATATTCATGGCAACCCAGAGAAGTGACAGTTCTTACCCTCATTTTATAGACAAGGAAACTGCAGCACAGGGATGTTATATTATTGCCCAAGAACGTAGAGCTGGAAGAAGGACGGGCCAGGATTCCATGCCGGGCATCTTGGTTCCAAGGCCTGTGCCCCTCCCCACTGAGCGACAGCTCTGCCTTTGCAGTATAGAGAGCGCAGTGGACCAAATGTTTGTATCCCCCTGCAAATTCATACACCGAGACCCTAATCCCAATGTGATGGTATTTGGAGGTGCGGCCCTTGGGAGGTAATTAGGTCCCAGAGGACCAATTGCTCAAAAGGCCAGAGAGCTTGTCCTTGCTTTTTCTTTCTGTCACATGAGGACATAATGGGAAGACGAGCTGGTAGTCCCAGCTGCTCAGGAGGCTAAGGCAGGAGAATCGCTTGAGCCTAGGAGTTCAAGGCTGCGGTGAGCTATAACTGCACCACTGCACTCCAGCCTGGGTGACGAGCGAGACTCCTAAACACACACACACAAAAAGGCCAGGTACGGTGGCTCACACCTGTAATCCCAGCACTCTGGGAAGCCAAGGCAGGAGGATGACCTGAGGTCAGGAGTTCAAGACCAGCCTGGACAACATGGTGAAACCCCGTCTCTACTAAAAATACAAAATTTAGCCAGGTGTGGTGGCAGGTGCCTGTAATCCCAGCACTCGGGAGGCTGAGGCAGGAGAATCGAACCCGGGAGGCAGAGGTTGAAGTGAGCCAAGATCATGCCATTGCATTCCAGCCTGGGCAACAATAGTGAAACTCCATCTCAAAAAAAAGAGACAGAGAGAGAGAGAGAAGATGGTTGTCTGCAACCTGGAAGTGGATCCTCACTAGAACCTAACCAGGCTAGCACCCTGATCTCAGCCTTCCAGCTTTTAGAATTCTGAGAAATAAATGTTGTTTAAGCCCCCAGCCTACGGCACTTTGTAATAGCAGCCTGAGCTGACATAGTACCTCTACTATTATAGTATGATCCCCACCCAGCAAGAATAGAAAATTCATGAAGCAATTCAAATACCTAACTGGAAAACCAACACAAAGATATTAGATAGAATGTTCCTGCAGTTTTAGGTCTAAGAACACGTAATATTATAAGGCAGGTCAAAGGAAGACATGTCCTATGGTTCTGCTGAGGAAACGTACCGGAACTATTAATAAGGTAGAAAAGAAATTGCAGAGGAATTCCAGCAGGAACGATTCCGACGGCCGCATCTTCCCGTCGATATTAATCATCTTTGGAACTTCCGGAATGAGGCTTATAGCGGCTTTGAAAAAAGCATCAGCTGCAAGACAGAAGATAAAAGTCAGTGTATTAGAACTCTGGGAAATTTAGTTGGCTTTCTTCTTCACATGGCCTGAAGGCCAGTCCTGAGAGGTGGAAGTCAGGCGGTGCCAAGGGCAGGTCCTGGCAGAGGGTTTCTGCAAACCATGATGAAGCTGGAGGAATATCTGCTTGACAGGGCACTGCTTCAGCTCAGAGAACCTCTGTCAAATTGCCTTTAGGTTATTAAGTGAAAAAAGCAGGTCGCAAATTTTTGTAAAAAGTCTAGAAATGACAGTTGCCTGGGCTAAAGGCTCAACTTGGATTGGTTCATTGAATTCTCATGTCTACCATGCGAGGAGGGTGCTGTCGACAGGTGTACTTCACAGACAAGAAATAAGGGAAGGAAAGAGAAGCAATTCATCCCGCAACAGTGTTCTGTGTACATAGGAAGTTCCAGTGTTGGTGGTGGAGCTGCAGCTCAAACCCGCGTCTGTTTGAATCTATTCTAGTGCACACCATTTTTGTTAAATAGCCATCAAAATGTCTGAAGGAACACAGCACACACACACACACACACACACACACAGACAGACAGACACACACACAGCTTAAAGACTTCTGATTAACATCAGCTCCACAGAATCATTTGGGAAATGAAGATATTTAAAGAGCTATGAAAAAAATCTGTAAAACAAGGAGACTTCAAAGGGAGCAAGCGAGGAAGAAAAGGAGTGGAGAGAGAATGTGTGTGCGCAACAGGATAGAGATGGGGTGGAAGGGATGAAGGAGAGCAGGAAGGATGGGAGGTGGAGGGGAAGACGGAGAGGGAGAGAAAGTTCCTTCTAAAACTGCCAAGGTATTGACTGTAAGAAAAAGCCTCAAGGTCAAAACAACCAAAACATTGACCTGACAAATGCAATTTTAAACTATCCGACAAGATCAAATGTTTTCATGGTCCAAATGGACTTCCACTCCAAAACGACTTCCAGAGATGCAAAGAGAACACTGTAGGGGTGAACAGCATCCTGAATTAAAACAGGAACGCCGGCCAGCACATCAGAGGGGCAAATGCAACAGCAAATGCTCACTTTCCTGGGAAGAAAGGCCTACGTTTAATGAGAAGAGTATGTGTCTGAAGATGGATGGTGGAGTTTTGCCATCTCTTCCTTCTTCAAAGGAGAGGGGGGAAGAAAAGAAACATGTCACAGAAAGACACTCCTTGTAAAGCTTTCTGAGTCAAGTTGCTCTGCTCTGGAAGCTTCCTCACCTGGCTGTCTCCCAAACCCCAAACTCAAACCCCTTCCATATTTATTAAGCACCAACTGTGAACAAGGTACTGTCATGGGCAGGTGCACAAACAGGTGAAAAAAAGTGAGAGAAAGTATTGACAACATAAACTGTGGCAATGAGACCAACATAATCATACTAATTAACAACTAGTTTTTTTCTTTTCTGTGTGTGTGTGTGTGTGTGTGTATGTTTTGTTTTGTTTTGTTTTTTTCCAGACAGGGTCTTGCTCTGTCGCCCAGGCTGAAGTGCAATGGCATGATCTCGACTCACTGCAGCCTCTGCCTTCCGGGCTCCAGCCATCCTCCTACCTCAGTCTCCCCAGTAGCTGGGACTATAGGAGTGCGCCCAGCATCCCTGGCTAATTTTTGTATGTTTTGTAGAAATGGGGTTTCACCATGTTGCCCAGGCTGGTCTCAAACTCCTGAGCTCAAGAGATCTGCCTGGCTCGGCCTCCTAAAGTGCTGGGATTACAGGCGTGAGTCACCGCATTGGGCCAACACTTATTTTCTAAACCTGTTACGTATTTTGGTCTATGCATCCACTTATCTCAATTGTTTTGGGGAGCGACATTAAATATGGGGTTTGAGGAAAAGCCACCTGATGTCAGTTCTGATAGAGAAACCTTCCAGAAAGGGTCAGAGCCGGTAGGGTCTTCTATCTTGTGACCACTAGTAAGACATGGCCCAACTGGGCGCAGTGGCTCACACCTGTAATCTCAGCACTTTGGGAGGCTGAGGTGGGTGGATCACTTGAGGTCAAGAGTTTGAGACCAGCCTAGCCAACATGGCGAAACCCTATCTCTACTAAAAACACAAAAAGTAGCTTGGCGTGTTGGCACATGCCTGTAATTCCAGCTACTTGGGAGGCTGAGGCAGAAGGATCACTTGAACCTGGAAGTCAGAGGTTGCAGTGAGCTGAGATCATGCCACCACACTCCAGCCTGGGCAACAGAGCAAGACTCCGTCTCAAAAAAAAAAAAAAGACATGGCCCTACTTATGGAACCTACAGGGGCTCCCAGGGCCTATCTTTAAGCAGCTCATTTCCTTAGTCCTCTGGCAGTCCCACAGTGAAGGAAGTATATCATGAAACAAGGTTCTCAGTGGGAATGCAAATTCTTCTCAGAGCAACTTGAAAGACCATTTTTTTTCTTCTATTTATGTGTTTGTTACTGACTGGCCCAGAGAATGTGCCTATTATTATGCCTCATGAAAAAGACAGCAGCTTTGTCCCCAGAACTTGGCTCCTCTCACCCACCCCGCCCAGTTTCCACTCTAAAGGAGGGAGCTAAAATAAATAGTTATTTAAAGGTTGGGGCATGCGGGGTTCCAAAGCAGATTTTTAGTTCTATCCTCAGAAGACTTGCCCCATATAGAAAATATTGCCTGGAGACTTCTCAATCTTATCTTAGTAATTAGAAATCAAATCCTACCGCATGTGACAGCAGTTTATCCTCATAGTTTAAAGTTCAGAATAATCATGTCAACTGCATGTAACACTTTGTTTTGTAGCTATTAAGAGCCATGGAAGATAATTTAAGATATAGTGGATTTTTTTAAAGACCTACAGAAAAAGGAGAACTCAGATTCCCAGTAGTAAAGAATATTGTCCCCTTTTTGAGTAATACCCCACAAGCACAGATGACCAAAGCAAAAATGGACAAACGGGATCACATCAAGTTAAAAAGCTTCTGCACGGCAAAGGAAACAATCAACAAAGTGAAAAGAGAACCCACAGAATGGGAGAAAATATCTGCAAACTACCCATCTGATAAAGGATTAAAAACCAGAACGTAAGGAGCTCAAACAACTCTACAGGAAAAAACTCTAATAATCCGATTTTAGAAATGGGCAAAAGATTTGAATAGATGTTTCTCAAAAAAAAAAAATAAAATACAAATGGCAAACAAGCATACGAAAAGGTGCTCAACATCATTGATCAGAGAAACGCAAATGAAAACTGTAATGATATATCATCATACCCCAGTTAAAATGGCTTTTATCCAAAAGACAGGCAATGACAAATGCTGGTGAGAATGTGGAGAAAAGGGGGCCCCTCACACACTGCTGGTGCAAATGTTAAGTTAGTACAACTACTATGGAGAACAATTTGGAGGTTCCTGAAAAAACTAAAAATAGAGCTATCATATGATCCAGCAATCCCACTGCTGCATATACACCCAAAGGAAAGGAAATCAGTCTATCGAAGAGATATCTGCACTCCTGTTTGTTGCAGCACTGTTCACAACAGCCAAGATTTGGAGGCAATCTAATGTCCATCAACAGACAAATGGATAAAGAAAATGTGGTACATACACATAATGGAGTAGTACTATGCAGCCATAAAAAAGGAGATTCTGTCATTTGCAACAACATGGGTGAAACTGGAGGGCATTATGTTAAGTGAATTAAGCCAGGCACAGGAAGGCAAATTTTGCATGTTCTCACTTACTTGTGGGAGCTAAAAATAAAAACAGTTGAGCCCATAGAGACAGAGAGTAGAAGGATGGTTACCAGAGGCTGGGAAGGGTAGTGGTGGTGCATGGTGGGAAGTGGGAATGGTTACTGCGTACAAAATAAAAATAGTTAGAACGAATGAATAAGACCTAGTATTTGATAGCACAACACAGTGACTCTAGTCAGTAATTTAATTGTACATTTAAAAATAACTGAAAGAATGTAACTGAATTGTTTATAGCACAAAGGATAAATGCTTGAGGGGATGGATACCCCATTCTCTAGGATGAAATTATTATACACTGCCTGCCTGAATCAAAACATCTCATGTACCTTGTAAAGATATATACTTACTATGTACCCACACACATTTTTTTAGAAAAGGAAAAAATACATATTGTCCTGGTTCCACTAGAGGAAGGGAAAAGCACCAAGTACATGGACTAGGTTTCCTCCATCCAAGTCCTCTGGGGTTCTTTTTTTTTTTTGAGACGAATTCTTGCTCTGTCGCCCAGGCTGGAATGCAGTGGTGTGATCTCAGCTCACTGCAGCCTCTGCCTCCCGGGTTCAAGAGATTCTCCTGCCTCAGCCTCCCGAGTAGCTGAGACTACAGGCACGTGCCACCATGCCAGGCTAATTTTTGTATTTTTAGTAGAGACGGGGTTTCACCATGTTGGGCAGGCTGGTCTTGAACTCCGGGCCTCAGGTGATCCGGCTGCCTTGGCCTCCCAAAGTGCTGAGATTACAGGCGTGAGCCACCATGCCCAGCTGGGACATCCATGTTTCTTTTCCATATCCCCCCCTTTTATTTTTGCTTATATTTCCAATATCTCAGAACGATCACTGCATATCCCATCTTCAAGGCAAAACCCAAACCAGAAAAACCCCACTCAGGCCTTGCTGACCCCAACACCACAGTTCACTGTATTTGAGACCCCTTTTTCTTGGGGTAGGCACTTCACTTTTTCCAGCAGCATTCTATCATTCTTTCCACACAGCAACTGATGCGTCTCACAGCACTGCTCTCTGCTGGGCAGAGAGCAAACACAGCCACCGTCCCCATATTCATAGTAAGAGAAACTCCATAAACACAGCCACCGTCCCCATATTCGTAGTAAGAGACACTGCATAAACACAGCCACCGTCCCCATATTCGTAGTAAGAGACACTGCATAAACACAGCCACCGTCCCCATATTTGTAAGAGCACTGTGGTACTCCTGGAGTGCTCTGTTGTAAGAATTGTTGGGGTCCTTGCTAAAAATATGGGGACAGG